CAAACCTGAACATTAAAAAAATGACTTGGGTTCCTCTCACTTTCTCTTTTACAGTTAACTTTTATATGAAGGTGACGTGACCAAATTGCATTTTAAAAGGTGTGTGTGAGGGTTCAGGCTGAAACTCGGGTTGTCTCCCCTTTGCTTGTATTCCTAGAGCTCCAAACATGGACACTGATATTGGTTGCAATAGCTAAACATTAATCTAGAACTATTAAATAAACAGTCTCCTTCAATTGGGACATAGTCTTTCTCCTTTCCTTCCGACTGGGGTGGCAAGGGTTTCCATTTCTCTTGAACAAATGGGTTTCTAAAACTTGAATTCCAGGGGCCCAGTTACTCAGTTGCCAGTCCTTTATTTTCATCCCTGTCCATACAGGTAACAAGGACACGGGCGCTTCTCCCAAAAATTCCCCCAATTTCATCCTTTCCCCTGATTCTATGATTTCCCAGGTTCTCCCAGTCCCGGACTCCTATTCATCTCCCACGCTCGCCATTCTATCCTTTCTCGCCTTTCTTGTTCTGCTCTCTATCTCTCTTCCCTTAACCTCCTTCTCCACTCCCTCGTCTTGGTCTCTCCCCAGTACGAAGGTTTTGGGGGAATCACCACTATCCACCTATGGTCTGCTTCTGCCCGAGGTACTTCCAAGCTCTCTCACCGTTGCATCCAGGGGAATTCTAACCAGATCCATTCACACCCTGGTGGTAGTGTCTCTTGTTCTTTTATCTCCTCTCCTTCTCCTTACTTCTACTTCCATTGTATATTCTCTCTTTCTCTTTTTTATCCCCCTCTCTTCTCCTTCTTTCTTTCCAGCCTTTTCTAACTGGTCTCTAAGCTCTTCTATCCCCCGCCCCCTTGAACAATCCTTCCCTCTTGGCCCCCTTGAGGGAATCCATGGAAGCATTGTCTGAGGGAGCTGACAGTCCATAATCCCCTTCGTTCTCCCCTTTGCAGGAATGGACAGCGCTCCACAAGAGGTGGGGTCATCTCCTGGCTCACGGGAGAGGGGGTGAAAGGAGACATAAGAAACCCATTTAATTCAAGCAATATGGTTTTATATCAAAGCCATGCTTTTAAAAAGAACTCGCACAAAGCCAGATTTCACATCAAAGCCTTTTTTTTTTCAAAGTTCACTTCTGAACTAAAAAGTGCCTTATTGGTTCTCCTTCTAACCTCTCTACCTTTTTATCTTATGCAAGAACATTTCAGAGGCATCTGACTGTAATTCAAAGTTTTTCCCTATCCATCTCTTGGAATACCCACTACTCCCACCCTAGTCCTTTTGTCAAATGTCTTTCTTCTACAACTGCTCTCCTTCCTTAAATATATTTGATACCTCCACTTGAGAGAACAGAGGAAGATCCTTGTTAGGAGCTGAATTCTGGATGTGCAAGGTCAGAGGGGACTTAATCACATGAGTTCTTATCTACAATTACTTAAGACTATGACTACTTGGTTCTGAACTGACATGTTATTCTGAGTCACTACAGAATTCATAATGGGATTGTGCTATTCCAGTGCCAGGACTCCTAGGTGTATATTCTTGGATGTAGACTCAAAACAAACAATATGGAACTTTTAAACGTATTTGGAACAAACAACAATTGTGTGCCACTGAGTGAATTCTGACTCATAGTGACCCTTTTCAGGGTTTTCTAGGTAGAGAGTACTCAGAAGTGGTCTCCTATTCCCTTCTTCTGGGGGCATTCTGTGACAGTGTAGCTCACTATATAAGGGAGGAAGTGTATGACCAAAACATGTTTCTCTCTTGCTGGGGAATGATAGCAGTGCAGCAAACAACAAAACCTGGCACCACACTTCAGAGCATTCAGGACATTCAGGGCACACACCTGTGTGGACACTAGCTAGCAGTGCACTGAGTGCTCTTGAGTTGTATATTTCTGTACAGACATGCCTAAGGACTGATATTCTAGCTGAATAATAACTGTATGCCATCAAGTTGATTCAGACTTATGGTGACCTTTTCCAAGGTTTTTCTCAATACAGACTACTTACAGTAGACATGGTTTATCATTTCCTCCTTCCAGGACATTGCCGCTTGCCCAAGGGAGGCACAGTGGGGCATTGAACTGAAAAGGCCTCCTTCCACAAGGCAGGTATTAAATGTTAAGCGTACATTAAGTCATAAACTCTTTTCTCTCTTTTTGAAAAGAACATTCCAGGGCCCCAGTTACAACTGCACAAGTTATGGGGTGTTTTAACATTTTCCCCAACCACTAGCAATATCCACTGCTAGGACCTGGGAGAGGGGTTCCATCTTCTGTGTCTTCTGCCTTGTATTGAAAAGAAACTGTATTCAGAGTGGGCTGGAGCCCTCCCAATCTCTGCAATGAGAGGAAAGTGCCCTCTTTCATCATAATCTTGCTGGTTGTCACTGTTGGACCTCTCAGCAACCTTTGATACCATCGACCAGAGTAACCTCCTGGGACGTCTCACTGGGATGGGACTTGGAGACACTATTCTGTAGTGGCTCCAGTCCTTCCAGGAGAAATCAGAAGGTGGAGCTGGGGGGGGGGGACACTCCTGTTCAACACCTTGGATGTTGGCATGTAGGATCCGTCAGAATTCTGTCTATGCTATGAATATCTACACAAAACTGCTGAGAGAGTTTGGAGTTCAGTTTGAAAAGGATGTCAGTGACACCCAACTCTGTACTTCCTCCCCATCTAAGTCCAAGGAAGCTGCTTGGTCTCTAGATCAAGGGTCTCCAAAGTACGGCCTCTGCTTCACATCCGGCCCACCTGACCTTTATATCTGGCCTGTAGATGTGTGGGGACAGGGGCACAGGTGTGTGGAAATTCATGTGTGCAGGCGGGAGTGCAGGTGGGGAAGAGTGCAGGCATACCTGGACATGCTCTTTCGCCCTCACAAATATATTATGTGGCCCTCTGTGTGAAATGTTTGGAGACCCCTGCTCTAGCTCGTCTTGTGTTAGTGATGGATTCAACGAAGATGAATACAGTGAAACTTAAAACAAGTCAGAGGTGTTCCTAGTTAATGTATTCTCAAAGGCTTTCACGGACGGGATCTGATGGTTGTTGTGGGTTTTTCGGGCTCTTTGGCCGTGTTCTGAAGGTTGTTCCTCCTGACGTTTCGCCAGTCTCTGTGGCCAGCATCTTCAGAGGACTGGAGTAGGAACTACGTCCATGCTCCTAGTTAGTTTTAGGAAACTTCAGCCAATCAATAACTGGGGTTAGTTACAGGTATCATATAATTCCCCTCTTACAGCACTTCCACTGGCTGCTAATCTAGTTTCTGAGCACAATTCAAAGTGCTGGTTTTAACCTATAAAACCCTAAGTGTCTTGGGTCCAAGCCATTTTAACAATTGTGTCTCCCTTTATGAGGTTGCCCAAGTATTAAGATAATTCGGGGAGGCCTTTTGCTCAGTTCCACCACCAGTGTTTGGTGGGGACACAGGACAGCTTTCTCTGTTCCTGCTCCCAGACTTTGGAACTCCCTCCCACAGAAGGCCAGGATGGGCACATTTTTGATGTCCTTTTGCAAGCAGAGGAAGACGCCCTAGCCAAACTACACAAGAGCACAGTTTGCTGTCCTCTGAAGATGCCGGCCACAGAGACTGGAGAAACGTTAGGAAGAAAAACCTTCAGAACACGGCCAAAGAGCCCAAAAAACCCACAACAACCATTAGATCCCGGCCGTGAAAGCCTTCGCGAATACAGAGGAAGACCTTTCTTATCAGGCAGGTTTTTCCTTTGGGACTGGCTATCTGAGAGAGGTTTTTTTAATGGCTTGTTGTGTCTTGTTGCATTTAAACATATGTTCAGTGTTTATTTTCTGTTTGTAATATATTTGGTCAACTCTTTTTAAATATTTACACACAAGTTTTTTACTTTTAAATATTTTAATGATGTAAGCAATTTTAATAAAATGAGAAAGTCAGGTTAAAGGTATTTTAAATAAATAAATAAAAATAATAAATAAATAAATAAAACAATTTTTCATCATCCTCAGTCCCGCGCGGTCTAGGATGCTCTCTGTCAAAATTAGCTCCTGTTGTAGAGAACAAAGCCTGTCAGGCGGCTGCGGCCCAAATGCCTGGCGCTGAGAGGCCTTCGAAACCGAGCACTGCCAACGGCGCGGTCGCAGGGCCAGCCCTGGAAAGGAAGGTTCCCGGGGGACAGCAGCAACCGTGGCAAGAAAAAAGCCAAGCCTGCGCCCTTCCTTACACCGCCTAGTGTCGGTGATGAACAGGGACGCTTAAAGACCATTTCCTGATAGCGGACCAGCCGACCTCACGACGAAACGCCCTAGAGCAACCCAGTCGTTAGTGCAATGAATGGTGGGAAATGTAGTTTATTTCCTTTAAAAAGTCTTTCCTGGCGCGGGAGCAGTCGTCTTTTTTCCTTTAGGCCGCGAGGGGTGCCGGGATTCGTAGTCGTCTTGTAGGTGCGATGCATGCTGGGATTCGTAGTACTTGCGGAGGGAGGGAGGGAGGCAGGGCGGAGGAGCGAGCGGGGGGAAGAGAGCGAGCGAAAAAGAGGGAGGGCGGGTGTGCCGCGGAAGGACCTTCCCCTCCCTCCTTCCCTCCCTCCCTCCGGTTGTTCCCGGCGTGGGGAGGAGCCTGATCGGTGAGTGGTTGCTGGGGAGGAGAAGGCGGCGGCGGGGAGGGGGGATGACCGGTTTCGCGTTGTCTGTATTGTCTTTGACGTGATACCTGGCAAAGAACAATTGGGAAGGGGGGTTTCCTTTGCCGGCTCTTCCCTTCCCTTCTCACGGGCCCCGGTCGCCCAGCTGGGCTTGGGAGGGGGGGGGAAGCCTGCCGGCCGTCCGTCCCAACCACCCATGTTTCCAGCCTCGGAGGCGGGGCGTTGCCTTGGGTGGTTTCCCTGGCGTGGTTTGCTGCTCCTGCCAAATCCTTCAGCGCCTTTTCCGCCCTGGATACCTGGGGCACAACGGTGGTGGAGTCGGGTCACGATCACACGGACACACTCCACCCCCCCCATCAGCAGCCCCTTTCCTCGCAGGCCCAGAGGCGATGCTGCGCAGGGAAGATGGCACCCCAAGGCAGCGCACCGCTCCCCTCCCCTCCCCAATGGCTGTTGGCTGTGCTGGCTGAGCAGGATGACTGCAGCGGCGAGCTGGGGATGCTGAACTGTTTTAAGCCCCAAGGGGTCACGATCCACGGATGGTGGAGGATGCACCCACCACAGACAACTCGGTGCAATGGGGGCAAGGAAGTTTAAGCTTGAGATCTAGTGATCCTGGCAAAATCCCTTCCTGTCTCCCACTAAGTGCCCCTGAGATTGCTGCATGGTCACTCCTTCCAGCAGCAATAAAACCTGAGTCTCAGAAAGAGGACAATAATGGTTGCCTATCTCGTTCCTAGTGATCTTTGCTAAAAAGCCAGGGGAGAGAGCTTTTTTTCCTTTGCAGCCAAGTAAGTGATCAGCTGAACTGCATCAGGAGGTGGGTGGGACCTTGCTGGCTTCAGGGGCCATCCAGGGGCCATCCAAGGGCTGCTGGTTGTGCGCTCTTGCTGGAGTCCAGCACATCCAAAAGGACCAGGTTGAGGAAGCCTTGACAGAGGTTAAGTGTTTCTCCGTGTTGATGCCTAACACCCACATCAGCAGCTTATACTTACCTGCATGTCCTTCTCTACCGACGACCATGTGGCAAGAGGGCTTTCTGGATGTTTGCAGCCATCCAACACTTGCAGTAAGATACCACTTCTCTTTCTGGTCATATCTTGGCCCAGCAGTTCTATCCTTGGAGGACTTTAGTACGCCTATACGTTTAGTCTTGGGTTCTAGTTGGTCAGCTGCCCCAGATGAGCATCATAAGGGCCCAGATGGTTTTAGTGGTTTGTAAGGCCCAGCCGATGAGTTTTCAACCAAGGCTGCCAGATGGGGCGTGCCGAGGCTGTGGAAACAGAACCCTCTCTGTTCCAATGTCTGGGATGATAAGACCAACACTGGAACAGGAATGTGAGGCCATTGTGTGGACAGTACTGTAGTTTTTTTTACCACCACAAAAAAAAAGCAAAAAAAAAAAAACCAACTTGGTACAACTTGGGAGCTGTGATGCTACTAAACCCTGAGCAGTTGTCATAGTTTGATAGTTATGAAGTGCTACAGGTGGGATCCAACATGATATGAATTATGGGGACCCTATTGCTTGCAAAACCTGAGGCCTTATACCAAAACTCACTATTCAGGCAGAACAGGAAGGAAAGCCTGTCTTATCTTTATGCGGAACTGGTTGGGCAAGTCGGCAATCTTTGGCCTGATGACATTTCCTGATTTCATTTCCTGGATCCGGGAGCTGTGCTCAGGAACAGTATTCTGCCACCTGTTACCATCTATAGGTATATCTGGATCCCCAGAACTGCCAGCAAGTTATGAGCGGGGAGCAGTCGAACAGGTCTGGAAGGCCTCGGGCTTTGGCATTTCCTACTCAAAATGATGCACAAAACCAATCTTCTGGGGTGGGAGATCCTTTATTGGTGGGTGCAGCCACGACTCCCCGGTTTTTATTGTCTGCAGTTAGAAGGCTCATGTTAGGAACTGAATCAATAAGAAGGGAGTTGGAGCAACGGGGCTTCTGGGACCCAGGAATTGTGGGTTGTGTTCCTGGCCGGGAAGGGCAAGTGGCCTCCATTTTCTCCTCTTTTCCTGATTCCCACTTCTGTGTGCCTTTTTGTTTGGACGGCAACTTTACTTTGTGCAGTTATTTAATTAGTAGAGCTTTACTTGATTGATTGGTGTTGGTCAATCTCAATTGCTGGGAACAAATTACTGTATGTGAGTTAAGAGCTTGCCTGCTCGTTTGTTTGTCTGTTTGGGGGGGGGGGGGGGTTCCCTTGGGCTAATTTAGTTCCAGCCTGTAGTTTTAAAGATTCCATAATACTCCACTTTGGCAGATTTAAGAGATCGTGTGAGTTGATTGTATAATTTATGTTGGGGAGAGTAGATTTCGAATCCCCATTCAAACACAAAGCTAGTATTAACCAGACCCAAATAAATTGTGTTAAATACAGTTTATAGATAGCAGCCGTGCCATATAAATTTCATAAGATTAATAAGGTGATACCAGATGTATTTTGGAGAAATTGTGGATCAAAAGGTTCATTGAAACACATGTGAATCTCCTACTGAAAGGTCAGATCATTCTGGGATGAAGTGATAGATTGGATGAACAGTTAACATGGGAAAAGGTAGTCCCTAATGATACTTTTTATATTTATTTAAAATATTTATATTTGTAAAATATTTGTGTTCATATAATAAAATATTTATGTATAATTATTTAAAATACTTATTATTTAAAACATTTTTTATCTTTTCTTTGCCCTTAAAAGGACCCAAGGCTATAGGATATGGACAGAAGCAGTGATGGAAAACTGACTACTCGCTTCAGACTGATTTGAGAGAAATAAAAAGAATGTTGCTAAGATTTGGGACCATTTGTTGGGGCTTTTAAAAAAGTTGTATTTGAATGAGAAATATGAGGTTTTGCTGGATTTTTGGCGTGAAACCTTTGAAGTTTGATAGAATCCTTGAGTTAATGGATTATAGGAATGGATTATATCGTTCACAGAGATAAATTTATTATTATATGATTGTATAAGTAATTGAGTTATAGGTCTTTGCATTATAATTGCTTTTGTTGATTTGTCCAAGGATTATCAATAACAGTCAAAAAAAAAGACACAAAGTTTGTTGGCGATCGTGGGACAGTTTTTGTCTCTGAGCCTAAGACACTTGACAAAGTCCCCCCCCCCAATAAATGTGAATAGGAACACAAATTCTATCCTGAGCTCCATGGAGGATGAATGAGAAAAACAGTATTAATGGTAGATGTTAAGGCTGTTTTACATTTTCTTCACTGTTTTTTAAAAAAACCTTTTATAAAAGGTTTGATAGTGTGATGAAGTAAGCAGTTAAGCTGCAAAAAGAGAAGTGATTATTAGTCCACTGAAATGCTTTACTCAGTTCACAGTTTGCATGTCAGTTTCTGTTGAACAATTTCCTGCAGCTCCAGCAGGAATCTTAGCAGTGCTGTATTCTCCTTGGAAGAGCCACGCCCTGCCCTTTTTCTTTTCCGTTGCAGCGTTCCTGACCCAATTGCCTGGCTTTTCCTTTTGCTGCTGCAAAACTAGGCCACTCTTAATTATTTTCACATTTACTTCTCCCATAGACATGGGCAGGTTATCACAACACTCTGTCTTGCACTGCTCTCCTCTCACCCACCTGATTGCAACCTTCTGACCCTTGCTGACCCTTTTCTTTCCTTCCCAGGTTCCCAGGAACCTCAGGCTCATGCCCGTCCCAGTGCGCCCACGCCTGCAATGGGATGATTCTCTAAATCCCTTGCGGATTAGCGTGGGCAGCCTCCCAGTGCTGGCGTCCATGACCAAAGCAGCTGATCCCCGTTTCCGCTTGCGTTGGAAGGCCATTGTGGCAACCTCCCTGGCCCTGGTCCTTGTGCTGCTCCTACTCTGCTTCCAGCGTTCGCCCTCAGCAAGCAGGCCTGTTCTTCCCAATGCTCATAATTGGCAGCTCAGTTCACTGGCTCATGAGCGGTACAATGACACCTACCCACTTTCGCCACCTCAGCGGATCCCAGAAGGTGTACGCTACCGCATCGGACTCATTGCTGACCTTGACACGAACTCCAAGGGTTCTGGTGAGCATACCTGGTTCAGCTACCTGAAGAAAGGTTACCTGACATTGTCATCTAGTGGTGACCATGTGTCTGTTGAATGGGATACCAAGGATGAAATGTTGGAATCTCACCTGGCTGAGAAAGGACGTGGCATGGAGCTCTCTGAACTCATAGTCTTTAATGGAAAGCTCTATGCTGTGGATGATCGCACTGGTGTGGTCTACCAGATTGATGGCACCAAGGCAGTACCTTGGGTGATCTTATCTGATGGAGATGGCACTGTTGACAAAGGTGAGCTCATGATGAATTGACTTTGATTTCTGTGCAAGTTCATTGCTTGACATATGTATCAACCCTGATTTTATCAAAGTTCCAGATATACCTGAGGCTGCCTCTAATATTTCTGTGTCACAGAGTTACCATGTCTTTTGATCCAGATATCGCTGTCCTCCAATTCCTTTACAGTATTCTTCAGCTGTTAAACTGTACTAAACTCAGTTACTTCCCCTTTTTTTACCACTGGGCTGAGGGACCACTTATTTTTTTAAGAGTATTCCTTATGAGATAAAAATAACTGATTTTTTTTTTGCAATTACAGTAGAACCTCAGTATCCACTGATTCACTTATCCACGGTCACCTGCAGTCAATGTAACTAGATCACCAGAAGCTGTTTAAATTCTGCAGATCCATTCCTCAGATTCAGGCCAGATTCTCAGATCTCTTGAAGCAAGGTTTCACAGAGAAGCTATGAGAGAATTCTTCCTAGCTTGGTAGAAGGGGAGGAGGTTTCTTGAAGGAAAAATGTTCCTTTTTCCATACAAGTAATAAAGTTTAAAAGCAAAGTGTTAAAATCATAGTGTTAAAAGCAAAGTGTTTGTCTCATGAAACTGAATCACGTGAAGCATTTTAAGCTCTGGCAGATCCATTCCTTGGGGCCAGACCAGATCTTCAGAGTACTTGGAGTAATGTTTCACAGAGAAGCTAAGGGAGAATTGCTAGCTTGATAAAAGGGGAAAGGTTTCTGATGGAAAAAAGTTTGTCCTCCCATATAAGTAAGAAATTAATTAATTTAAATTTAAAAGCATATTTACTAGATGTTTGCTCAGTGTTTGTGAGTATCTGTGCTTTTTAAGCATCCACGGGGTGGACTTGGAACCAATCCGCTGCAGATAGGGGGGTTCCACTGTATTTTACTCTCCTTTTTTGGTCCTAAAAAGGTTTCCCAAGTCAACTTCCCAAATTAAGTAACACATGTATATGAGAAAACCCCTAGCTATACAGTCAGGAACTAAAAAGCAAAGGCTAAGAGCTTCAGAGTAGTTGAAAGCAGTAGCATAGAGCCCATGTAAAAGTGGTTTAGTTTAAAATAACATGAAATCACATCAAAAGGAATAAAACCAGGAGAAGGTGAAAACTAAGGTAAGGTAAGAAAGTCTTAATGCCCTCCAAATACTCAACAAAGAGAACAAATCATTCAAACTTTGCTAGAGAGAGAATTCTAACAGTATGAAGCTGCAACTGAAAAGGCCTTTCCATACTTCTCATCCAAATTCCGAAAGCACTAGGGAGCAGAGTAAAGTCTTGGATGAGGAATGCAATGAGATGGGCAGCTTTTGTAGTATGAGACGTAGCTTCAAATAACCTGCTGAAATATATATGCCATTCTTCTCAGGAGGGAACAAGAGTAGCTTATGTCCATCTATCCAGGTTGTCTGTCTTTTAACTGGACAATCAACTCAATGTTGACTTGAACTGTTGTCTTTTTTTGCCCAGGGTTTAAGGCAGAGTGGTTGGCAGTGAAGGATGAGCATTTGTACGTGGGAGGCTTGGGCAAGGAATGGACAACGACCACAGGGGAGGTACTGAATGAGAACCCCGAATGGGTGAAAGTTGTTGGCTACAAAGGTGATGTAGCTCATGAGAACTGGGTGGCCAATTACAATGCCCTCAGGACTGCTGCTGGAATCAAACCCCCAGGTAAGCAGTAGGGGAATTTTTGGATTTGAATAACTTGGGATAAATATGCACATACCTATGTATTTTCTGTAGTTCTGTTTCCAATATGATTTTCCTCCTAAAAATTTCATATTGCTAAGCACCAGAGTTGATGGGGGCATAAAGGAAGGAGAACAGATGATGAAGAATTTGGGGAGGTAAGCTACAGATGCCTTTAAAGAGGGAAGGATAGGGAGTAAGGTCCACTTCTTTCTTGCGCATACTTCAATTTGTTCTTGGGCACACTATGATTGCTATAAGATACTGTGTTAGTGTATGTAATAATTCTAACCAGCATTTCCCCCAGGACTTTAAGTTGATAAGTTCTTAATTCTGTTACTTCAGTGTACCGTATTTTTCTGTGTATAAGAAAAACCCAAAATTAAGAAATCTAAGCAGGGCTTAGCAAGTGACAAGAAAGTTCCTGCTTTCCCCCTCCACTTTCTTGTGAAGAAAGTGGAGGGGAAAAGCGGGAATCGAAGTGCTTTGATCCCTCCCCCCTTCTTACTTCAGTCCTTCAATTTTTAATCTAAAGATTTTAGACAAAAGTATCTTATACATGGAAAATATGGTATATGTCTCCACTCTCGTAACTGCTAATCTGTTTCTCTTTCCTTCCTCCCAGGTTACCTGATCCATGAGTCTGCCTCCTGGAGTGAGAGACTCCAGCACTGGTTCTTTCTGCCCCGCCGTGCTAGTCATGGACGCTACAATGAGCAGGAGGATGAGCGCCGTGGCACCAATTTACTGCTCAGTTCCACACCTGACTTTGCCGATATCACTGTGAACCACGTTGGTGATATCATCCCCACTCATGGCTTCTCCTCTTTTAAGTTTGTCCCTGACACCGATGACCAGATAATAGTGGCACTAAAATCTGAAGAGGATGCTGGACATGTGGCCACCTACATCACTGCTTTCATGCTGGACGGCCGTTGCCTCCTGCCTGAAACTCGCATTGGTTCTGTCAAATATGAGGGCATTGAGTTCATCTGATGGACAGAAATGGATTCTTTGAGACAGGCTGATGGACTGGAGGAGGGTGGCTACACTTCTGCCCAGGGCTTTTGTCTCTAACTCTGCCTCAGCTGCAGAATGTTGTCATGGCACCGTTTTTACCTTTATAAAAGGAAATTTTGCTACTGTCCTTGTGGCGTGTTTCTGTGCTGGCCTCTAGTGGTGCAGGGTAGCCAATGTCCCTGCAAATGTTATCCCAATTTCATTGAGCCCCACCAGGAACTAGCCTGGTTTCCACATGACTCTGTACTTTACTGGACTGTTCTGGTAATTTGGCAGAACATACACAAGGAAGAATTGGTTTGATTGCTTTTCCACTTCACTCTACATCTGCCACCCTGACTTTTACTATGATTCACATGTGCCTTTGCTGTTAAGGGGAAGGCTTCATTCTTGATTATACAGCAAAGTTATTATCCAGTTGTTTGGAGGGTCATCCTTTGGAAGGTAGCTGGCCCTACACAGCTCTTTCCACCATAGTTTTGATTTTAGCTGGGTGAGTGCCCTTTTTTGTGGAACGTCAGAGATAGGACCTGGAATCTAGTTCTGGAAAGTGCCAGATAACAGCAGACAGAGAATAAGGACACAGCTTTAAGAGTCGAACGGAAAGGTGATATGCTCTCAACCCTGTTATGACTGAAGCAAAGTTAAGTGTTCTCTGCCATCCTTAATCTTGAGATAGTCCATGTGGATATAAACATGAAAGGACATATTTTACCATATGCATTTCTCAGAGCAAATGGCTAATAACTTTTCCAAGTCCAAAGCCATGTTTGATGGACTGACCATAACTAACCATGTCAGCGATCTACTACTAGACAATGGCAACCGTTACTAAATACTTCAGTCAGAGAATATGCACAGGAGTAATCCATCCTGTCATGTTTATATCCTCTGTTCTCCACTTTCCTTCCTGTTCATCACTTTTTAAAGGGGAGTTTCAGTATCAGGAAGCTGACATCCTGTGAAGATATTGCTGCTCGAATAATGAGTCCTAATTTAATGCTGCTGAAGGATGTTTTTTTTCTTTGAACATTGAGGGCCTCTTGTGGTTCCTGTCAGATAGGATAAGATCAGGTGAACGCATGCCTCTTTCTTGAACTTTTCCCTGAGTGTTCATGGCTGCCTTGGCACCGTGTGTTTCTCAGAGCTAATGATCAATCACTTTTCCAAGCTCAAAAGGCTGTTCTGAATTTGCTTCCCTGCAAGTAGCTAACAAAGAGTCATAATGATTGTTTGGGTTCAACTTTTATCATAAAAAGATAGTAAATGCAGACGTAAGGCACCTGTTTTTTTTTTAAAGCATGTTTTTGTACATGTACTCAAGAAGCATGGGTCTTACGAAATTGCTTGAGTCTTTTGAATCTAGGCTTCAAGAACTTTGAAGATACGCAATGGCCTTTGGTCTATGCCATAATGTGTACAATTTTAACTTATGCCATGTTAATACAATATGTGTCTGTACAAAGCTGCAACATACCGACTCAGACCATTGGTCCACAGGAGTTCAAAACTATGTACTTTAACTGCTAGGAGACCTCCAGAGTTTCAGGCAGAGGACCCTCCCTTCCCTACCTGGAGAAATTAAGGACTGGTCCTGAGTATTCTGCCTTTCAAACCATGTGCTCCCCCCTTGGGCTAGAGCCCCTCTTTCCAGATACAGAAATATACATGGATATAAAAATTTCAGTGAGCTTTTTATTTTTCAAATGAAATGTTTTCAGAGTGCCTCAAGTGTAATAATGCTTTGTGTTTATATCCTAAATTAATACATAGCTTCCAAATTATGACTGAGATTTAGAAAACTTTAGTCACTAGATGGCAGCATTTGTTCATTGCAGTGACAAGACCTAAAGAGTAATTTCCATCATCTCTAAAAGGACCCGCTCCTTCTGTTAGGGTGTGGTATAGTGTTTATATCAAATGTGTCAAAGCCTAATCAATGTGTGAGTTAGCATTTCCTGTTAAATACACACAAAACTCAGATCACTGTGTATGAATGAAAGGCATACAGAATGAATTTGGCACAAAATAAAATCAAGACTTGATGACTACCTATAGTTTTGTATTGAAAACATTGTCACATCAATTAAAATGTAATGTCACAATTTTTGCACTTAAAATGCATTATCTAAATTGGCAAAACAATCTGCTGAATAACCATGAATGGACTGTCACTGAAAATATCAACCAGAAGGGTTCTTACATGTGTACTTTGTTGTTCATTTGTTGGCATCATCCTTTTCGTTGTGGAAAGATTGCATGGATTAGCCAATGGATTTTGATAGTTGCATGCCAGCAGCTACCTGCTTTATTATAATTAGTTCAACTTCAGCATCCTTTGCTGTAACTCACCATCATGTCAGCAGAAAAACAGAAAAAGAGCCAAGTAACATCAGACCAAAAGTTTTTCTGGTCCACCATTACTCTTTAAATAGCAATGACTCAGTTGCTTTTTTTCCCTGATGAGAGTTTACCAACCAGGCAGCTGCACCTTCTGCCTCACGTCCTCTAGCAACTGATGCAGAGGGGTGCTACCTCTCATGCAGATAGTACATAGCTATCCTAACTAATAGCTACCGATGACCTTATCTTCTGTGTATTGTCTCCTTTCAAATATACTCAAGTTGGCATATACTGTAGTACATCACTACATCCGGTGGCAGGGATTTCTACAATCTAATCTAATCTGATATAATATAATCATTTTAGAACTGAAAGGGATCATCACGTTAGTGAACCTCCCAAACTCTGGCCCCACAGCCAGATACCTAAACCACTGAGCTATCCAGCCGTTACACTATATGATGCTCTGCCTTTTTATCGATCTTGAATCTCTCAGCATTCCATTTCAATTGATAAATTTATGCATTGGCTGCTTTGAAGCTTTAGCAGAAAATACCATGCAGTCATGAAGTGTCCACATTTTGGGAAATCTAGTAGTTAAATCATAGAATCATGGTTGGAAGGGGCCTATAAGGCCATCGAGACCAATCTCCTGCTCAATGCAGGAAAAGGAATCAAAGGGTATCTGCCAGACGGTTGTCTAAATTTCTCTTGAATGCTTCCAGTGTTGGAGTGTTCATCTATCAAGGTAACTGGTTCCATTGCCGCCCTGCTCTAACAGGTGGGAAGTTTTTCCTGATAAGTCAACTGAAATCTGGATTCCTGTAACTTTAGCTCATTGTTCTGCACTTTGCGATGATCGAGAATAGATCCTGTCCCTCATCTGTATGACAAGCTTTCAAGTATTTGAGAAGTGCTGTCATATCTCTCCTCAGTCTTCTTTGCTCAAGGCTAAGCATACCCAGTTCTTTCGTTCTTTCCTCATTGAGCTTAGTTTCCAGCCCCCTGGTCATAATTGTAACCCTCCTCTGAACTTGTTCCAATTTGTCAGCATCCTTTTGAAGTGTGGTGTCCAGAATTGGACACAGTACTCAATATAAGATCTAACCATTGCTGAATAGAGGGGAACTAGTACCTCATGGGATGTGGAGACTATACTTCTGGCAATAGAGCCTAAAATAGCATTTGTCTTTTTTTTGTAGTCACATCACCCTGTTGGCTCATATTTGGCTTGTGATCTACAACAATTCCAAGATCCTTCTCACTCGTAGTATTGCTGAGACAAGTATCCTCCATCTTGTAACTGGGTGTTTGATTTATTCTTCCTAGGTGCAGTACTTTGCATTTATCCCGGTTGAATTTCATTCTGTTGTTTTCAGTTCAGTTCTTAAGTTTATCTAGATCATTTTGAATTTTGTTTCTGTCTTCCAGGGTATTAACTATTCTACCCAATTTTGTGTTATCTGCAAATTTGATTAGCATTCCTTGCACCCCCTGATCCAGGTCATTAATAAAAATGTTGAAGAGCACTGGGCCCAGGGCTGTGCCTGGGGTACCCCACTTGTTACTTTCACCCAGTTTGAAAAGGAGCCATTAATAATCTGTGTACGATTCTTTAGCCAGCTGTGTATTCACCTGACTGTTGTTCTATCCAGTTCACACCTAGTTAGTTTGCTAATCAGAATATCGCGGCCCACTTTGTCAAAAACTTTGCTGAATCTGGATATCGTTGGTGGTTGCTATAGTCTGTTTGTTTCATGACTTTTGTTGTGTTAAGTCAACCAGATGAAGCTCACTCAAGGCAGGAACCTAAGCAAGGTATTTATCTCAAGAACAAAACTAGGGAACTGTTGGTTTGTGTAGAAATTTCTACTGCAGGTGGGAATGGTGGAGTACTGTGCATGCATTAGTGTTCCAAGATAGGCCACTGACCTTGGACTATTAAATTCTGCAATCGTGGTGTTTGGATTATAGATCTTCCAGGGCTTCATCTGACAAGTTGCTAGGTTTCTGTGATCTTCTTCCAACCCCACCCTGCCTGGCCGTGTCTCCCTCTGTGGCTAAAGTTACATTTCCAGGGCCAGAATTTTTCACTTTTTGCTTCTATGATCCTGCTGCCTTGAGCATTCAGAAGCATTACACCTTGTGAAGCATACAAATGGTTGCAACGCTCAGTTCAGTGGTGCTGCAAAATCCTCCTAGAAATGCGACCAACATCCTTTTCACTTTTGCAGTGCATATGAGACTGCACAACATTGCAGCCCCCCTCTGTTTGTCTTTCTTTCAGTATCGGAGTGTCACTTTGAGGCCCAGTGAGTTTGCAACTGTCAGTAGAAAGTAAGCAGTCAAACTGTCAAAAGGTTATTTTTCAGTGAATGACCTTCCCAGTGTCCAAGTGATGAATGAAGAGCAGTCCTAAAAACATTATTGACTCTTGAGCTAGATGTGTCCAATATTTGGTAGCCTGTCTGCCTTCTTTCCTCCGCCTCCCCCTCCATCAGTTTCCCTTTTTCCATCCATTTGTGGTGTTTTCTTCATGTTAGTCAGAGCTGGGGGGAAGGCATTGCTTCACAGGCCTCCTGCTATTCCACATTCTGTTCTAAGCAGCATTCCACATTGCAGGATGATGCTTAGTAGTTCCTCAGGGTGTCTCAGTCTGCCATTGGTCTCCCTCCTGTGCTTTAGTGAGCCTTGGTATGCATGGAAACAAGGCAATTGGACTCACAGTGTTTTCCGAGATTGCCCTAGAGTCCATGGAGAATTGGTAGCCTAGAACCATGAGAAGCCAAAGTAGCTCTTATTTTCTCTCACCAAACACGATGTGGAGCCAATTATGTCCTCCTCCTTAAGAAACTGGTAAATATACTGCACCTACCATGGATTTATTTCATCTTTCTCCTGCTTTAAATCTATCCGTTCTACCTCTTGTATTCTGTCCTTCATTTAAACCTACTGTTTCTCACTGAGCTGTAGGTTCCCATGTGCAATGCACTGTTTCCCTAATAGTCTTCCTTCTGCTAATTTGGTGAACTACCACTCCATGTCACTGTTGTCTCTTGCCCCCATTCCTGCCATTGGGAATAGTCTTCTGGCCTATTGCTAAGGGATGATACATAATCCCTGTTTTATTTTCTTTAAACATATCCCATATAATACTTTAATGGTTCAAATGTAACATTTTGTTCTTGTTCGCTCACTAATTTCCCTGATTTGTCCAGGCATAGGGCAGCCTGCTGTATATGTGCTATCCCTCTCTAAAAGATCCTGGTAGTACTACGTTTGCTGAGCACAAAGAGACAGACGGCTGCTTGCATAGACCCATAAAGGAGGACATCAGTTAGCAGGACATTGATTGCTTATATATTGCATGTACCCATCTGGATTAATGTTTACGCTAGGGAACTGTGTAGCTCAGATCACGATCTTGTATTCCATCAATCCAGCATTAACCTCCCACAGAAGCACATTCAACGGCATGCCTTGAGAAGACAAACCTGCACCCCTTAACTGCTTCTCATGCTGATTGTAAAATGTGGACCTGTAACAATATGAACTGTATACTTACCAAGACATTGGAATCTTTTTTAAAAAAAATAGTTCCAATAGTTATAGTTCCCAGGGTCCCAAAAGTAGTTAGTTGCCATTATGGTCAGAAATGTTTCAAAAACTCAACTCTTTCCCATTTCTCAAAAGGAACTAGAATCTGTTAACTTGTTAACAACTTTTAAACCATCTGTGTGGTACAAAACACACCCTCCTTCTCCTCCTTATCTCACCATAGCCCCAATGTCTACAACAGAGCACTAGGCAGCATGAGGCACAGAATTCATGGGAGGAGCAACAGAAGGGTCCCATTTTATTTGAGCTATGAGGTATTCTGCCTCTGCCATTTAGTGGTTTAAATCCTGCTGGCATAAATATGCCTAAGGAAGGATGCTTCTGCAGATGTCATCAGCCCGAGTTGGTTTCCACAAATTAAATACTCTCACAGATCTTGTGTAATCATTTTCATTGTGTGGAAGCTGTGGGAGCCACAGGATACAAGGAGGAAGTCTTTACTAAAATCGTTATTAGTGGTAATGTCATCCAGGTAGCTTTGATTCTCATTAGTTAAAGACTTCCCTTTCAAAAATTGCCAGCTTTCTACAGGTATAGTTATACCAACAGAATTTCAGCAAATGAGGCTACACTGCAATTACTATAAAAGTAAAGCAGTATAACTATCCTTTGTGAAGCTACACTTGTAATATAATTATGTGTTTGTATTGGATAATGAAATGATTACAAGTAACTTATTGCTTCCAATATCTGTTCCTACCCACTGAGATGTGATCCAAATCCAGATTCCAGCTAGCTACATGCAACTCTCTGCTAGCTTTATCTTGTACTACCTAAAGGAACTCACCTTAGAGGGTCAGGAGCTGTCTGACTGAGGCAGTGAGACATCAGAGAGACTGTGAAAAAAGCTCAGGTTGACTGGGAGAATCTGATCCCAACCCAACAGTGCCGATTATGCTGAGAGAGAGAAGACAATTCAGGCATTCACACCAGATGGCAAAGGTCGTTAGGGAACAGAGGTTGAACGTCTACAAACTGTGATTGTGGAAAGGTCTGTGGGGGTGAGAAGGGTGGTGAAGCTAACTTCTCTCTACCCTTGAGAAAGGACACTTGAGTATAAAGTTGGTTCCTCTACAAATGACCTTGAGAGTGAAGCTGGCAATGGTGGAGAAGTAAGGTAGATAGTTCATAGTAAGTGTTATGTTTGTTATTTGAACTTTAACCCTGTATCTTACTTGAAATTATGAATGACACTGGGGTGTTGTTTTTGGTTCCTGTTCTTCCAAAGGAGGCCTGCCCTTTCACAGCACTCTTGGCATAGATCACTTATAGAAGATCTTATGAAGTACTTGAACATGAAGTTTGCTTTGCATCGTATGGAATGTCTCAGCTCTTGCCCAATGTTGCTTTGTGCTCTTTATAGGCTTTACCTTCCTTCTGCCAGTTTCTTGCCTTGGCAGCTCACCTCCGCTTCAAACTATCAGATCTAGAACACCTCTCAAAAGTTTAAAGTCATGCATTGCCCATTCTATCATAGCTACTGAGAGCAAATCCTCACAAAATAAAGATCTATTGGGATTCTTTAGCTGTTGCTTGTGTGGAATTTTGCCTACAAAACATCAAGTCTAACCATGAAGCCTATACTGTATTGATTTGACTGTGAAAATATTGGAACTATCTACTTTTCTCTTTCACGTCTCTCTCTGCATTTTAACACCCTTTCAGCTGCTGCTGAGAGTTCAAGAAAAGTAGGGTGGGGGGCAGCAGGTTATTAATGTTCGTCTTATTAAACAAATGTTTTAAGACACTATAGTAATTATTTTTGCTACTTTGTCCAACTTCCAATTGTCACAAATGATGTTGGTTGATTAACATGTATCGCTGCACACACATAAGTGTCTATTGATTTCATGGAGGATACAGCAGTCAATAGCTACTGGTTCTGATGGACAAACTGTTTCCCCCAATGACAGAGGAAGCACAGTATGCTTCTGCAGATCAGTTGATAGAGAACATGAACAGGAGGATACTATTGCGCTCAAGCCAAATTCATGCTTGTGAATTTTCCTGATGGAAATGGCTGATATCTGTGTGTATGTGAACAGAAGATCAGACTAGATGGCTATGATTCAGTTTGGCTCTTATAATATGTTACATTATGCTCACGCAGCTCTGCTGTTTGTTTGTTTTACATCACATGTTCGACCACCACAGCTTGAAACACAGACCTAGGTCCTGCTTGTGATCTTCCCAGAGGCAACTGGTTGGCCACTGTGTAAACAGACATGCTGAGTTATAGGCCTTTGCTTTTCCTGTATTTTTAGGATTCCCGAAACCGTAGACATTTGTTGCAATACAGATATGCTACACACATTGAAAGAAGCTCTGGAAGCTGTGTTCTTTGAGTTGTGGTCAATACAGTCATAAATTACCAGTGTCTGGGTATATAATAGTGCTGGGCAGGCAATTTTTTCTTCCTCAAACCAAAAGTTTGCATGCTGGCATACTGAATACAGGATTTCTACGATGCATCTATAGAGGACTCACAGCTGGGATTATGTAATGTCTCCACAATTTCCTCTCCCTCCCCCACTCCAAACTTCTCCATGGTCCAAATTTTTTAAATAGATTGATAAAAGGGAATCTTTGCCAGTCTGGTGCTTTATTGTGCATCCACTTGGTTTTTGCAAAAAGCAAAAAATGGTCATATCATGAAAGTTGGATGGTAGTATTCAGTACAAATTCTCTGGTAATATTCACTTCCAATTGGGGGAGGGGGGTATACAGCAAGCTGTCAAGAAGTCAGAGAAGTCATTTCCAGAAACAGTTGAACTCACATAACATGAGTGATGCAGAATAGAAACTCAGTGCAATGAAACAGAACAGAAACTTAAGTGTTTCCCCTCTTTTCCTTCTAGAGGAGCAGCTGCAGAATCTAATTCCTACCATCACTCTGTCCAGAAGCTCTTCAGGGCCAATGATGCATCTTGTTGCCAGCATCTTCCACGGTAAGCACAGTATTCGATCTAAAGATACAGAAATAGTTAAAACAATAACTTGCATGAAATGTATTATGGTGGCTCTTCAGGTCTGTTGGTTAGCTGGTGTTGTGGATGACTGAAACTCACTTCAGGATGCTTTCTATTGTATTCCAGCACCAGACAAAAATATGTTGTCTAAGGAGGGCAGCTTTTAGCCTTTCAGATCATGTAGGACTACGACTCCTATAATTCTTCAACATTGGCTATGCTAGCTAGGGCTCATAGAGGAATGCGGTCCAATAAAACCTTGAGGGCTATAAGTTACCTCTCTCATGTACTATTTGGATAGCTGGCCAGCTGTGCATGGTGGGGGTAAAAACACACCATCTTGAATGAACATGCTCTGAGATCCACACATTAATTTAGCATATTACACAAAAGTTGCCCAGCTGAGGCTGTTATTGTACAGTATTCTGGTTTTGATTTGATCGCATACATATCATCCAAACCAACAGTTTCACTGAAACTTTATTTCTGAAATGTGCACTATGTTTGGAAAGCAACTCCGGTCTGTGTATGGTTGCTGGTACAGGGAAGCTTGAGAAACAGCATGAGAGAAGTGTGCTGTGTTTATGGTAAAAAGACTCCTTTCCCACCTCCCAGCATATTTATGGATGGGCTGAAAACAAAACATGTGTGTGAAACAGAATCTTTCTGTGGGATTCTGCCTCCCTCTTTGATACATAGAAGACAAAGTGGTTCTTTAACTATGGTGTCCCATCAGCCACTGTTCTGAAGGGGCTTATTCTATGCAGGTTTCTGACCATTTCTTATGGCACACCATATGGGAGCCTGCTTGAGAACTTACAAAGTGGAAATTGTGCTCTCATATATCGGAATGGCACAGATGTGCTGGCTGAATGAGGCGAAAGAAAGTGGAAGCTTTACTAGGGTAGAACATACTGCTTATCAGTTCAGTATTTTATGTTCAGCATAGTCGTACTCAGCATAGATTCAGCACGCTTCTCTTAGAAAGGGAACATTGTTAGCCTGATCTTGTAGCACCCCATATAAAGTATAGCTAGTCTTTCTATTGAGAGGCAATTTTTTGCTGGAAAAGTTTTGCTTAGCTCAGCTGTTCCTTCTCATTTTTTTGCTGGAAGAGTTTTGCTTAGCTCAGCTGTTCCTTCTCAATCACAGGAAGTGTGAATTTTAGCCAGAGAAGAGTGAGCATGAACTTCAACAATGAGGAAGGTGAACACATGAGCAGGTGCAGAGCGTACGAGAGGAAGAGGGCAAGAAAACATGTTGGGTGTAAGGGAGCAGCTGCAGTTTCCAAGTCATTCGGAGGGTTTGGTTAGATTAGTGAGATTACCAACGGTGCCTAATAGATTCCTTGCCAGTGCAAATCACCCACAAAGTTATATCTTACTAGGGTTTGGGTGACCAGCTATTTAAGTATTGACTGATAAAGGCCATACTTGAATTTAATCATCTGAAATCCTGTTTGTGATTTGAAGTTGGCTTCTTCCAAATAATTGTAGTTAAAATATATGGCATGCTTGTGCATTCAGGCAGAATAATGAGTTGCAGAAGTGAAAAGAGAAGTAAAAACTTCTAAACATTCCCTTGTGGCTGCACCAGAGGAGGAGCTAGCGTGGACAGCTGAGACCTTTTTGACTGTGCTATTTATTAGTGTGAAATTCCCAGTGTAGTGTAGTGGATTTGATTCTTCAAAAAAAATTTCTGCTTTATGAATGTGGGATATTTCTGTACCCATTATTCAAAAAGCCAAGAAATGGCCCAATATTGCTGCCCAATATTGCTGCACAATATCATGCCTATGTTGCCAGCAGGAAAAAGGATGCCAAGCTTTACATAGCAAAGGGCAGCCTGAATATTGACAACACCAATAACAGCAGTCCAAGACGGTCTATAGCACTGGTTCTTACCCTTTGTTGCTCAGATGTTTTTGGACTGCAACTCCCAGAAGCCTTCATCATCAGTTCTGCTGGCTGAGGTTTCTGGGAGTTGCAGTTCAAAAACACCTGAGTAACAAAGGTTAAGAACCACTGGTCTATAGGATACCCTCTTCTGTTCACTACTATTCACAAAGTGACACCATGCAAGGGGAAATCCCAGAAAACTCTTTTTTTCATCAATTAATCACTTCTTACTTAAACACAAAGCAATTCTCAGTGTGAATATCTCCATTTCATCATTATAATTTTATAATATTTTGTCTGGGCACCTCTATTTTTTGAGTTGCTTTATGGAATACTGAATCCTACTGTCAGCACAATATATTGGTGCCCTCCTGTCCTAGAGTAACAGCTTAGGAGTCTTGAGAACAGTGTTCCAATCCTCACTCAAGCATGGAAACTGACTGGGGCAGTGGAACTGGTAAAAATACTTAAATATCTCGCTTATCTCAAAATTCCCATCAATGTCATTATGAGTCAGTTCCAGCTTGACACCACAGAACACGCATAAATTTATTAGTGTAGTGAATTGTTCTATAGCTTATCTCGAAATTCCCATCAAGGTCATTATGAGTCCAGCTTGACACCACAGAACACGCACAAATTTATTAGTGTAGTGAATTGTTCTATATTTAATGCAGGAGTAAATAACCCAAGTTTTTAAGAGTCCTAGTCCCATCACTCTATCCACTACACCACACTGGTTACACATACTTAAGATATACTGGCCAAACAGGGTCACTTTAGGTCAATATGCCATTTGGAGGCATGGATCGCACCAAATGGCATACTTGATCTCTTGGCAATCCTATTTATTCCACTCCAGACAAGCCCTTGCTAATTTAAGCTAACATATGCCAGTATGGTTGGCCCCGCCCATTTGCTTTTAGTCTTGCATGCCACTGAGATGTGATCCCTGAAAACTTACCTTTAACTGAATTTGGTCCTTATGCTGAAAGAGGATCCCCACTCTTGTGCTACAATAAAACTTTAATATGCCGTTATGTATTCATTTCCCCCCTCTTTATTCTGAAGCAACCAATGTAGCTCTGATAATCAGTGCAGGGCATTTAACTTCCCCTCACCCCAATCTAGTTCATCTGAAGGTTCCCCAACTACTCCCAGTTATAGAGGTTTAAAAAACAACACCTCAATTCAATCCAGGCTATGGAAAGCTGCGGTAGAGAACAGAATGCTGTGGAACTGCAAATACATTTATTTCAAAAGAAAGGAAACTTCCCATTCTCATGCAAACTCTAAAGAGTTTTGGAGAACATTTTAAGCAATGTGACCAGACCCGATTTATCCTGACATCAGTATAATCTTAACCTACCACAAGTCCACTCTGGGGGTTCTCCCTGTTGGTTAAACTGAACCTTTCCACGTTTTTCGGTTTTTGTTAGCTCTTTTGTGCCTGGCCCTCTAAACTCGTTTATGCTTTATCCTTCTCCCTCAGGTTGCCTGCACAGGGCTACATTCTGCCTGTTAATGCTGTGTGTCCTACTGTCATGTTCAGCTCCCTCTCAAGGTAAGTTGGGCTTCTCTTGGTCTCTGATACCCCACTGAAGCAGCAGCAATTTGAATAAGTGGTAGGAGTCACAAATATAATTAATTTGGAGTCAGGTTCTTGAGACCTGGCTTTATGACATAACCTAATAGAAATCAATAACAAAATCAGAGTTTCTGAAATAGGCTGACACAAAACTGTGAGTGAGTGGCAAGCTTGTCTGCCTACTGAAAATTGTGTGTTGATGTCTCTTGACTGAAAAGGTGGACAGAACGGGTGCTGATGAGTGGCTTCTGTGCTCAGATGCTCACCAAGAATATGCCAATGTAGCAGATTTTGAGGGAGAATTCTGAGTTGATCCTGGGATTTGTTAGACCTGGTATAGGAATACTAGATAATGTTACCATTAAGCTGTTCCAAACTTGAAACTGGCCTACCAGAAGGATCTGAGCATGGAAATATCTACTTTTACCAGATTATTTATTGCCATCCAGTGGATGCTCCACAAAATAATCCAACAAAACTGGATTCTTCCTAAACTAATAACACTTGCCCATCTAGCTACAATACACAGGGGTGAAATACATAGGCTGTAGTCTTATACACAATGAATTAGGGCCTTATGAGTAGACATGTGCTAATATACACTTGTTTATTTATTATTCATTTATTTATTTAAAATATTTTTACCCCATCTTTCTCCTTGAAAAGGACCCAAGAAGACTTACAACAATGAAAGACAATATTTAAAGTTAAAAACAATGAGTAAACAATGGTGGTTAATATCATCAAAAAGCAATATTTAAAAATTGTGAACCATGAATAGGAGGCATTATACATCAATTAATAGGCAATATGAAAACAAAGATCAATAAGTATACAAAAATTTGAAGACTTACAACAATGAAAGACAATATTTAAAGTTAAAAACAATGAGTATACAATGGTGGTTAATATCATCAAAAAGCAATATTTAAAAATTGTGAACCATGAATAGGAGGCATTATATATCAATTAACAGGCAATATGAAAACGAAGATCAATAAGTATACAAAAATTTTAAAAATGTCATTCAGAGGAAAAACAACCCAGTTAAAGCAGTAATGCATAACAATCTATAAAAAAATAGATAGATTTCACCTCTGTGAGACTGCTGGAATGGCCATTACTTGTCAGGCCTGAAATGAATGTTAACTCTCTCCCATCACTTGTCTATGGATTTACATAATTAATATTCCCAGCATATTCCCTTAGAGTTATTACAAATATTAATCAAGTATTTTATGGTTAGAATCCTATTGGCAATTTACACCTGTATAAGGGAAATTTCAGAAGTCTTGGTGGCAAATTGCCACTCATTAACAAGGTGCTGAGTGTATTCCCGGGTGCACATCAGATTGTGCGATTCGACTCACAACCAGGAAGGCTGCCAGCACCTTATTAATGAGTGGATATTTGCTGCCAAAACTTACGCAATTTCCTTTATGCAAGTATAAATCAGCAATCAAATTTTGACTAAGGCTTTATATAAATATCCAATTATTTTTACTACTGTCAATATTTGACAATATCTGTTTGCAGAATTGCGTCTGGCTGATGTGGAACAGCAAGCTGACAACATCTGAAAATTGACATGCAATCACATTAAAGCTGCAGTCCTAATCATAATAAGTTCAGAGACATGTACGGGACTGTACTTTATTACATTTTCATCTTATTTGCTGGAATTGGTCTTCATGTAACATCTGTGTAACTATAGCATAGCATAGGCATCCTTCAGTCTCGAGAGACCATGGTAGCGTGCTCTGTATCGAGGAGTGTCCTCTCCGAGCATGAAGCCTGGGTAAAGTAATATGGAGGATAGGCTGTTACCCAAGCAGCAGATCCCCCTTCTCCATGTTACTGAAATGGTCCAATGGAAAGGTAAGAGCCAATACAACTGGTTCCAGCAATGTTGCAGGAGTTGGCAGAATGACATGAGCTGCCTTCGGGACTCCAGCTCCGGATTTTGCTCTAGGTTAACTCCTGAAGCCGTTTCCATGAGTGGATATATAGCCACAGACACCATAGCGGATTATCAACTGCCTTACTTCCTAGGATGCAGAATTTCTACTTTCTTGTGACTGCATCTGATTAATTATGGTCTAGGGTGCATCTTGCAAGTTATGTGCCTGCTCATGTGATTCATTGCACGACTGTGGTATGAGTCACCACTTGAATAATTAGCTGAAATTAGTCCTGACAAGATATGAAAACCTGATACAATAGAATTCCAGCTATAATATTACATGTTTTAATCTGCTTACAAATATACCGCAGAATCTGCTGATACATACCCTCTTGAACCAAATGAACAACCATATGCTGAATTGTGATGAGATTTCCAATTCTAAAATTCATATGCCAGAACATTTTGATATCAGAATCTGTTCTGGAAGATTTGCAACTTTAGCACATTGTGACTCATAGAACGATCATTTACATTAAAAAAAATTCATAATAGCACCTTTAGAATCCCATCAATGCTTTCATTCAGAACAGCTGCCCACAGTTTCCAAATACCCTGCTTTCCCAAAAATAAGACCTAACCTGAAAATAAGTCCTGGTATGATTTTTCAGGATGCTCATAATATATGTAGATCAAGCCCTAATAAGCGTTTTTTGGAGCAAAAATTAATAGAAGACCCTATGCAGAAACCAAAAGAAGATGGCATGACTCTATTTGAATAAATGTAGATTATTGTACACGAAAAATAAAATAAAACATCACCTGAAAATAAGCCCTAATAAGCGTTTTTTGGAGCAAAAATTAATAGAAGACCCTGTCTTATTTTCGGGGAAACACAGTACAGTACATAGAAAGACTGAGTAGAGCTGGACCTGTGCAATACAAGGGGTTTATGAATTGCTCTCTGACGCCTCAGGCTACCCCTCCTGCTTCAGCTTGTGGTTTGCTTCTGTTCACTTCCCCTTTTGTGTTTGCAGCTTTTTATAACGGAGCAGTGCGTCTGGCCAACGGGAACTCCCTCAATGAAGGCCGTGTGGAAGTCTACTTTGATGGCCAGTGGGGGACAGTATGTGATGACAACTGGGACATCACTGACGCTTCCGTCGTCTGCCGCTCCCTGGGATTTGAAAAGGCAGAAGAAGCAAAGACAAGCGCAGCATACGGTGAAGGTACGAACAGTGGTGCAATCAGAGACTCTCTATAACCTAATGTCCCTGGCCTATTGGCCAGTCAAAGAACAGCAGCTGAGGAGAGCAGTGGCAAATGGCTAGCATCAGCATCTGGCTTGGTGTGGGCAGCACGCGGAAGCCCACCAAGGCCGAGGTGGCTCAAGACGCCTCCCCTGTTTTCTTACTTGTCAGAGAGATGGTTACAGATGCACCTGTCACAATTTTTCCTTTATAAAGATAGACTTTTGTCTGACAAAAGGGTGCCTGTGCCCAGGTTAATGTGTTTGGCGCTAAGGCAACAGGAGCAAACTCTGTCTTATTTCTACAGTCTCTGTCTTATTTGTACAGGGATGCCATAATTTAAGTTAGCTTTAAGTACTAAACAGCACATCCTGACAGTATTTTTTTTTAACAAGTCATGGTTGGCAAACAGTTTTATTTTGTTCTGTTTTTGCTCTATCATATCCAGAATGAAGAAGCACTTATAAAGCATGGGATGGAGAGGACAAAAGAAGATACTGATTTGACTAAAACTCTATGTGCTAATTTATCCATAGAGATATAATACCAAAAACAATATTTATAATTTAAGCAGAATCCCTGTGCAACTCACTCAAGTAGGCAAGATGCCAACCAGATGACTTGTGTGCCTTGTGAATGTGCTCATCCAGTTGTTCACTGTGGATGAGAAACTATAAGTTCCCTGATCTGTGTCCCCTCCCTTATGGTTCCGTACCTTTAAATCAGACTTGGACTGGTCAGCCTTTTAAATGGAGGACCAATTTCCAAAGGAGGCTTTCCCCCTGGTAGCCCTTTGGATGGACAACTATCCTCCTTAGAAGAGGACATGAGGTGACGTTCCAGGGCAGTAAGGAGACAAATGTTAGTTGTGTGTTTCATAATTAAAGTGGAACACATGCTTATGTAAAGCCCAGGGAGACCAATAAAGTGCAGGATCTAGAATTACTTCATTGCATCATTAGTTAGGAAGCTTGCTTTAATTCCTTCTGAAATATTTAACTGCTGTAGACAGAGATGCTATCCTGCAGAACCATAACTAGTAATTTTGGTGTCCAGGGCCAAAAATTAAAAATAAAAAATAAAAAAACCTCCACTACACACCAAATATAGAGGGTACAACTAAAGAGATTGCCCTGTTCTGCATCAATTGTCCTCAGAAGTGGCAAGCTAATAGGCAGGCAAGCCACCCAAACTCACCTTTCGGTAGCAGAAAACACAGGGTCGCATGGTGTCACCATCCCTACAAAGTCCTGCTCATCCACTCCCACTGTGTTAGAAAAAGAGAGAGAAATGGAAGAGACAGCCGCTCTGCTTCCTGGCATATTGCTCTCCTTTGATTGCTGGTTTCAAGGAAAGTCCTGGGAAGCAAGGCATGATGGAGAAGGATAGCTTCTGAGCTCACCTGTGCTCTGAAACTGAGCATGGCTCAAGCAGCAGGTTGGGGACGCTACTGCAGACGGAGGAGCTTGGGCTGCCCAAGTGCCTGCCTTTATCTTGTTACTCCTAAGGAGGATTATCAGAGGACAGGACAATTGTTGTGGTCATGCCTTCTCAATTTGGCACTCTAGGGCTTTGGAATCATCATCATCATCAACAACTTAGAACTGCAGAGCTGGAAGGCCCAAAAGAGTGAAAAAGGTCAAGCATGCTCCGTCCTAGAGTGACAGATGCTAAAGGGAAATAGATGAGGTTGCCTGGCTTAGAGAAGATTGTTGACTAGAATCCTGATCAATCTCATTAAGGGAGAGGAGATACTGTAGTATTTGCTTCAGGCCCTGATTGTAGTAGCAGTAACAACAATAACTTGATAATAATAGTACAGTCTGCCTCAGGTCATGTGTGTCAAGTGGCCTGAAGAAAGCCTCTGTTGCTAGGATCCCACAGATTTACACAGCTAGATTGTATTGAAGCCCGTATCTCTCCAGTTTATTCTTTGGTTTGCAGAATCTGAGAAATGGTATGAGTTCTACCTACCTCATCTACTCGCTGTCTCTGGTGGTGTGACCAACGGCTGTTATCGTTTTTCTTTCACAGGTTCAGGACCGATTCTTCTAGATGATGTCAGTTGTGTTGGGACAGAGATGCATCTTGGGCAATGTAGTTCTCCAGGCTGGTTGAACCATAATTGTGGACATGGAGAGGATGCAGGAGTGGTGTGCTACAACAGTAGGTGTCTATTTTGATATGTTTTGTCACCAGGCTCATGTGGGCAAACATTGCAGGCAGGGGAAGTTCCTCCCAATATAGTTTCAAATAGAGGGATGGTCAGTGGAGGTTTTTTCTTCCTCACTTGTATCATATCTAGCTATTTTTATCTCTGTCACTGTCCTCAGGCTGCAAGTGCCTAGCCCGCAGGGGAGCACACCAGACTGGAATACAGTCTCTTGGTGGGTGGGTGGCGGTTTTGAAAAGCAGAATTTGAAAAGCCAGGCTGGGGTCAGTATGATCAAGAGACACTACCAAAGTGTTCAGAGACTCAACAGAATAGGTAGCCGAAGTTCAAGCCACAGCAGCTCACCAGTCCACACTAGCAACAGCCATAAGCTAAGTCAATTGGGGGGGGGGGCTGGGCTCAGTCTGGCATCCGCCAAGCCAAGAGCCCAAGCAGTAACAGAGGCTGTACATAGAGAAGGAAACCCAGCAGAGGTTCAGAAAGCACAGCAGGGTTTGTTGGCATTCCAGCAACTCACAGATGACGCTCCTTCCCAATTGTTTGCTCAGCATGGAATTATGCCTCTGGCAGCTAGTCTGGCCTGTGTCTCACCCAAGGACTCGGCTGCAGGTTTTCCAGCCTCAGGTCTCCCTAGAGAGAGAGAGAGAGAGAGAAAAGGCTCTGTTACATACAGCACTGATGTTACCTGTCTGTCATGGGTTTGGAGGGAAAGTTCCATCCTATGGGGAGTGGAAGGCGGGACATCAGGAGGAGGGGCTGTACTGTATATATATGTGGAGCTGAAGGAGAGCTGGAGGAGAGCTGAGAGAAGAAGCTGGTGTGGGAGTCTGTGTGTCAGACAGGGTACTACTGTGTGTCAGTCAGTACCAACCTGATAGGTTCAGGTGTCTGTATGGTTAGCCAGAACTGATAGGTTCAGGGTCTGTGCTTTATTGAAAGGTGTTCTGTGTGAACCAAACTGGTGTATGTATGATTGAGACTAAGCCACGTTACTGTATCTTATTCACTTGATCATTTTATTTTCCCTGTGTGTTAT